CCTTGTGTAACTGTTCTCATCATATTCACCCGCACATTAACTCACTCGGCAGTACCCTACATCTAGCCTCAGGGCTAAATCTATTTGTTAAGGCCAGCTTTAGTTTGGTCAAGGTCGTTGAGATGTAGGGAGGGGGGTTGGATGGTCGAATGGTTAGCACGTGCGCGCTGCGCTGTATCATACGATCTGTCATTGATTCAACTGGCGGGGTTACGATTCCCCGGTTGTACGTGACAAGGAGTAGGGTCGCCTGTCCAACCTCGTGGGTTTTCTCCGGGTCCTCCCACCGCTCAAGACCCCTACGCGCAAGCTAATTATTGAAATAAAATTGAACCATGTGTTAGTCCCGAAATGACCTAGTTTGTGTCGAGTGGACGTTAAACTCCATTTCTCTCTCTCTGAGATGTAGGGCACGTGGTTGTTGGCGAGATTGTAGGTTAGGGTTAGGGTAATCATTGTGACTAGGAACAGGGTTGGGATTAACGCTAGCCCGGTTTACATCTAGTGACCTATGACCTATGAGATGGCCTTATCATTTAGCACTAAGTGTGTAGGTATATATCACTTACCGCCATACAACCGAGGCTGGATGTGGAGTGCCGGAATCTGCCGAGGTTTGCCGAGAGTATATTGACTCGGACAAAAACACGCGCCAACCTAATCACACCCATTACCTCACAGTTGCAGATAGACTTTCGTGCATGACACACAGGACATTTTGGACTCTTGAGGACCAAATACTACAACTTTCGCGCATCTAATTATTTATTCTTTGAAATTATCCAATGATTTCCACCTTATTGTTATAAAAATGTTAATCAATAGTGGTATTCTAGCGTATAGTCTAGAGCTGTGCTGTCATTTAATAATCGTTAGTAGAAATGTTTTAGTAAATAAGTTGGATAAGGACTTAAACGGTTTTTCAGTTTTCATTTTTGCTGATATCGACAGTTTCCGAAATACCACGTGAGCTGAGTTTCCGGATTATCATGTCTAACTACACGCAGAATGGTAAGTTATCGCGCAATTATTATCATGACGGCACCCTTGTACCCAAGCCAATGGCGGCGCCAACAATTTCCAAATAACGTCGGCGAGTAGAAATTATTTCAAATGTTTATGTGAATGTTTTTTCAAGTGCTAGAATGATTCCTATAATTGTATAGTGATTTGACAACCTATTAAGTAAAAGATATAGAAATAATTATGTTTTGACTTTCATAGAAAATATGCAATTTAATGTCTGACCACGATTCAACTGACGTGGTCCCAATACGAAGCATTTCGGCCCTATCTGACAAGGAATAGGGTCATCTTTCCAAGTTCGTTGGTTTTCTCCGGATCAACCGGTTTATTTTCAGTGCTAAATATGCCTACGTGTAAGCGAATTATTGAAATAAAAAAACTCGCTATATGTTACTCCCGGATTTTAGTCTGTATTCGCTTATCGACATCTTCCACCCTCGTATGTCTACCGTGGGCGCCTGGGTTAATTTAACACTGCCTCGACATTAACGGGAGGAGGGTGGGGATGTCATTGAGTCAACTGGCGTGGACGTTACCCCCCCCCCCCTCTCTCTCTCTCTCTCTCTCTCTCTCTCTCTTTGCTTCTAACTCTTGAGTAGAACATGTGCAACTGACTTTTTTTTAATAGTCGGATGGGATCGCAAGATCGCTTATGTCGCCTTATTCCATGACCTCATTATTAAAAAACTTGGCACCTTTACCACTGCCATCAATATTATGAAATTCAGGTTCAGTCGTTGTTTCCATATTATTCGATAAATGAAAATGATAGCTGTATTATTTTATTTTAAGGTGCGTTCAAAAGTACCACCCGGGGCAAACACAATATTCAAATGACAAAAATTCAGTTCAGTTGTATCGAAAAATCAATCATACAATGATCGATCCACACATATTTCAATTGATGCCAGAGGAAAAGTAAAGTGACACAAATTAGTAATTATAATTTATTACGTTGTCATGGAAAACTGTAAATATTTACTCATGAATAGAAAAATGTCGACGTAAATTGACTCGAATTAGTGATTATAATTTATTACGTTGTCATGGAAAACTGTAAATAGAAAAATGGCGACTTTTCGCAAAAGATCTTAAGTTAAACATGACAAGGTGTTATTTTGTATTTATTTTCAATTTCCGATATCTACATGTACTTTCGGAGTTGGGGGAATGGATGGCCAAATGGTTAGCACGTGTGCGCTGTATCATAAGGCCTGTCATTGAGTCAACTGGCGTGGTTTCGAATCCCCGGTTGTACGTGACAAGGAGTAGGGTCGCCCGTCCAACCTCGTGGGTTTTCACCGGGTCCTCCGGTTTCCTCCCACTACTAAAGAAGCCTACGCGCAAGCGAATTATAATTATATGTGTTGACAATTGTGCGTTTGAACCTATTTGAACTTGCGTAAGGATTCTTAGACTGTATCAATTGTAACGTTAAACACACAGTTTAACGTTACAAGTATAGTAACTAGCCACCATTATACTTATCGCACTGTATGGGTGTGAAATTTGGGGTTATGAAAATATATCTGAAATTGAATTTGTGTATAATAAATTTTGTGACGGATGGAACATGTACCCTATATCATGTATTCAATATACCTCGATTCCATTGAAAACTGAAACGTTTCTTGACTGATTTATATTTAGACTATTTTGTACATTTCACCGATGTGGTTACTTGTATTGTTGAATTTTACTACATATGCTTGCATTCGTATTTCTTGTGGCATATATAGCAGATCATGACTCATGCTGGCATTACACAATGGTTTCTTTGGGTTGCATTCCTTATTGTTTTCAAATTTGAGTGAAGTCTGTGTCAGCGCAGTAGACGCTTACGGCTAGCCCCCGGATCCATTCACTTTTTTTGAATTGTTTGTCTGTTTGTGTTTTTCTGAGTATGATGTCTTGTCCGTGCATTTGTTTTTGTGTAAATTTTGTGCCCCCCCCCTACACTTACTATTAAAGTGAGTACATCTATGGTTGATGTGGATTTTAAAAAAAAAAAATATTATATCTTTCTCTACCGAATAAAAATAAATGTGGATGAGTATACTGTATGTCATTGGTATAATGCAAACGTATACTTGGCCACAGAAAAATACAGTTATGTAGGGTTTTCTTTTTTTTCAAAAAGGATCCGTATAGGAAAATATTTAGGTTCAAGATTCAGTCGGTAGCCTATATTCTCGAAAGCTTTGCAAATCGAACGATGGCCTCATCAAAATCTGCTTTGGATTTTGCATCGGGCTAGAAGTGACGCCCCCCCCCCCACACACACCCTCCCCAGTCAGACACACGCACGCACGCAGGTGCAATGTGTACCGGGACGGATATCCGGATCACCACATAAGGCCAGTGCTAAATGATAAGGCCGTCTCAGCTTTTCGTCATAGGTCACGAGATGTAAAAAGGGCTAGCGCTAATCCCAACCCTAACTCTGGAACTAACCCCAATGCTTACCCTAGCCCTAATCTATAATAAAAATTGGTCTGGCCTTAACAAATAGATTTAGCCAGATACTCAAATAATCGTTTTATGAGATACCTAAGGGAGGTGACTCTTGACAGACAAATGTTCTCTGTGTTTGAAACACACAAAAGTCGTTTGCCTGCTGGTTTTAATTTTCATCGTTTTAGACCGGTGTCAGTGCTTTGAATATTTTGACCCATTAATCATTGTCAGTAATGGATCAGCACAAAGAAAGTAATTTAGTTTTATATGGGCCTTTTATGGATAAACCCTCGAAGAAGGCGTCCTCGCGACGTAACGACTAACGACTAGGCTTAGGCCTACTACTAGGCGCCACTGTTAAATAATATTTATTTATCATATTTTCCGTCATATAGACTAGGGCATACTTATTATCGTTATGATGACGAATAGGCCTACCACTTTTGTTTTTTTGTTTTTTTTTTAATTTTATAAGAAAATGATGCTAAGGTCCTTTTGCGAGTCGTTTTTATTTTATAACATTCGACTTCTCTTAACAGTTTAACTTCCATGCTGGTTTTTATAAACAACTGGTTGATCGGTAGGCCGGTCAGTGGTTTGTTTGGCCTAGTCCTTTTACAAATTCTATACCCTATAATAGGGATCCACGGTGGCGTATGTGGGTAAAGTGCTAGCTCACGAACCGTGAGTTTCAGGGCCGGGGTTCGACACCGGGGTGGTCTCCCCTAGGCGCCAGTTTCTAGTCGTGCACGCGACTGCATGGCGCATGACAGTCTTCATTAGAAATTGCTCGAATGAATTCAAATACGCCAGAATATAGCGTGGAATGCTGATTGAAATTTGTGATGCATATACGCTTGTGGCCATAAGATATAGCCTACATATTTTGTACACGCTGGCATTGCTGTGTCTGTGGTAGCCTACTGTATTCTAGACTTTTCCTTCTGCTGAGTGTAGGCCTACCAAGATAGCGACAGCTCTATTCCGCGTACGTCATTGGTTGAGTTTGGGGGTTGGGTGGTGATCACATGTGCGAGGCCTTAGGCCTAAATGACCAAAACCAAGGCGGCAGAATAAAATGAAATGAAATGGGGTTTAATTTTTCTTCACCAACACAGTGTGCTCTTTTATTGGATTCCAACTGGCAGGGTTCTTTTACGTGCACGCCATTGTATACATGGGACCTCGGGTTTTTGTCCGATCCGATCGACTAGACATTGTCCTTGCTAGGTCCTACGTTTGTATTACTGACAAGGAGAAACCACGTCGGAAAATCTCGGGGAACCTCCTCAAACAACAACTGGAGCGAACCCGAAACCGAACCCTACTGGTTAGCGAGCCACCGAGCCACCACGGCTCTCTCAAGCCGAGGACGGGGGGGGGGGGGATATCTTTATCTTTTAGTTATCCAATGAATGAATAACCCGTAGAGGATGTTTGGTGTTAACGATTAAGAATGTTGATTGACTACACTTATTATTATTGGCTAATAATTATTATATTTTCTCTCGTTTCAGTAATCTGTCGCAATATGTTGGGATTACGAATAGCAGGAAAGGTGACTGTCATCCTCATCATAGCAGTATTTGTTATTATTATTGGCTTCTTGTCGCACCCTGGGACACTCTTACCGTCATATAATCCGGTTAACCCAAGTACGACTTGGTCGAGATTTATAAACAACAATGGAACTGTTGATCGTCTACAAAAAAAGTACCCAATGGCAACATGTCCCCTCGAATCACAGACTCTCGTCGAAGAAGATTATGTTGTTATAGAGGCGTGCGTAAAAGGCTACCAAGCTTTGGAAATGCAGTCTATTGACGCTCGTGAAATGGAATACAAAAGAGTACATATACATAAACCATGGTTAACGAGAAACGACAGTGTTATGATCGAAGTTGGTGGATACAAAGGAGTAGACGCAGAACGTTTGATCAGCAAAGGGATGCACCCAAAATACATTGCTTTAGAGCCAGTGCCCATGTTTTATGAGTTATTGCAAAAAAAATTCCAATCCGACAAACAGTTTTTGATTTTGAACTTTGGATTAGGAAGAAACGATCGAACTCTAACAATCCCGATCCAAACCGACGCCACATCATTGTTTCGACAGAATAAAATAAGCATGGGAACGGCAACGACAAACATCACGATCCGAAAAGCTACCACATTTTTTGACGAAATTAAAGTCAAAGATAAAAACGTGGACTTATTGCATATAAATTGCGAAGGTTGCGAATTCGAACTCCTCGAGGATTTAATTTCAACTGGATATATTAGATATTTTAACCATGTACAATTCCAATTCCACATGCATTTACCATATATAGAAAAAGAGGCGTGTCGGTACTGCCAAATCATGAAACTTCTGGGCCGGACACACAAGCCAATGTTTCAGTACCGTCATACTTGGCAGGCGTGGGAGATAAAAACCGAGTAAACCTAATAACATTATTTTATATTAAAGCACTATTGCGTATTGCTTGTGGTTTGATTATGTGATATCAGTTTTAGTCTGTGGGTCTTTTGTTTTAAATGTAGAAACGGAATTATCATCGTGTATGATTAAATGGAATGACCACTTTCATGCAATCGCCATGTGGGATTAAACGGAACGACCATTTTTATGTAATCGTCATGTGCGATTGAACAGAATGACCACTTTTATGTAATCGTCATGTGGGATTAAACGGAATGACCACTTTTATGTAATCATCATGTGGGATTGAACGGAATGACCATTTTCATGTAATCATCATGTGGAATTAAACGGAATGACCATTTTCATGTAATCATCACGTGGGATTAAACGGAATGACCATTTTCATGTTATCATCACGTGGGATTAAATGGAATGAACACATTTATGTAATCATCATGTGGAATTATTTGAACATTTTAACATGGCGAAACGGGAATATATTTTAAGCAACCAAGGATATTGCCATTTCGGCAAGGACTTGTGCCTTATGAAACATTATTCCTACATTTTCTCGTTTCGTTTAATAAAAGATTGTTTAAGGGTAAATATTTTCTTGCAGACAATTTTAGGAGAGAGAAAGAGAGAAATGGGGTTTAACGTCCACTCGACACAAACTAGGTCATTTCGGGACTAACATAATTCGCTTGCGCGTAGGGGTCTTTAATAGTGGGTGGAAACCGGGGGACCTGAAGAAAACCCACGAGGTTGGACAGGCGACCCTACTCTTTGTCACGTACAACCGGGGATTCAAACCCTGCCAGTTGACTCAATGACAGACCGTATGATACAGCGCGCATGTGCTAACCATTTCTTAGCCCAGAAATCCTCATTTTAACTCTGTAGCCTCGATTGTTGGAAGCTCTAGAGGCTAAAGTTAATATCCGATTGACGTTATATTTACACACAGTGTTTAAGGTCATGAGACGAAGACGCCTATTGATTTTCAACGATTTCTAACTTTGAAATACCTGGTGGACGCTCTAGACGCTAAAGTTAATATCCGATTGACTTTAAATTTATACACAGTGTTCAAGGTCATGAGACGAAGAAGCCTATTGATTTTCAACGATTTCCGATAATTACTTTGAAAAATAATGGGACGCTCTTGAGGCTAAAGTTAATATCTGATTGACTTTAAATTTATACAGTGTTTAAGGTCAGGAGACGAAGAAACTTATCAATTTTCAACGATTTCCGATGATTATGGCAAATTGATATTAAATATTTTGTATGCTAAATGTTAGAATAGGGTAGAACTAGAAGCCAAATGGGTTGTTATTTGTAATCATTAATCATATTTTAGTGTGTTGTAAATGTATTCATTTCTGACAAAAGAAAAAATATGCGACAACCCTTGTTGACTCACGGACGACTTAGCTGCTGTGGCCGTAAGTTTTGTTGCCAGGCAAACTAACATTTAAAGCCATCAAAAGCCCTGCAATTGGAAGACTTAGCTCTTAGATAATGCATCTTCAAATGTTAAATAATCATTTATATATTCAGATGACGACCACCGGCTTTTAGATTTAAATTCATAAATGGCCATACTAGGTTGAACGACATTTAGTGGACAGGGCTCTGTTTCTCGAAAAGTTAACTAAAGATAAAATCCAAATTTTAGTAGATACTTCAATTTTGATTGGCTAAGCACTAAAATCAATCTAATATTATCCAATCAAATTACTAAAATTTGGATTTTATCTTAGTTAAAATTTCGTGAAACAGGCCCCTGGGTTATTTAGTTAATTTTGTGTATTTCACGTCAAATGTAAAAATGTTTTTTGGGTTTTTTTTGTTAGAAAAGTTCGGTGTTATTTTGTAGCGCTCCCTAATTCATGGATGAACATATTCTGTGAACCTTTTAAAATTTAAAGATACATTATGGGAGATTAAAGAGTTGGCAGTTCAAACTATAATAGTTAAAAACTAGATAATGTAAAGGGAATTTGCTGAAAGTTCAGTCAAATTGATCCACCCTGAACCGAGAATTAAGCGATTAAATTTTAGGCCTAGCCTCGATCATCATTACTAAAGTCGGTAGGATAAAAACATAGTCTCGATTATCCAATTTTTGAGTTAATCATGAATGAGAGAGAGAGAGAGAGAGAGAGAGAGAGAGAGAGAAATGGGGTTTAACGTCCACTCGACACAAACTAGGTCATTTCGGGACTAACATATGGTTTAACTTTATTTCAATAATTCGCTTGCGCGTAGGGGTCTTTAGCAGTGGGAGGAAACCGGAGGACCCGGAGAAAACCCACGAGGTTGGACAGGCGACCCTATTCCTTGTCACGTACAACCGGGGATTTGAAACCACGCCAGTCGGCTCAATGACAGGCTTTATGATACAGCGCGCACGCTAACCATTCAGCCATCCAACCCCCCCCCCCCCAATCATGAATGAACGTTGAGCAGCAGATCGGACTATGATCCAGTAAATATCGCAGGCTAGCGATGACATTGAGAGTTGATTATGGTCTGAATAAGTTAATTAATGTCTAATTAATAACTTAGATCACATTTAAGGCCTAAAGAAAGACCTGCACTGGCAGATTTAGCTCTTATATAATGTATGTGTAATGGACTTATATCAACAAATTCCTTAATGTAAATGTGATTGCAAGCTGCAGATGTGACCACCTGACATCCATAAATTTCTTAAGTCTATAAAAGTTCTGTTGTGCAAATTCTTAGTATATATTGAACGAAAGAACTTTTGTTTTTCTCCTTTTACCAGCTGTGAATAGTTATTTCATATCATTGACTCCATTGCAAATGATAAAATTATTACACAGAGTGGACTTAAAGATACGTTTCCGCATACAAACTGGGTGTTTTTATGATGTATTTGGACTAAAAGCATATTCAAACTAATTAATCAAATTTTGCTTTAAATCATTCTCAAAACATTGTTTTCGCGAGGGAATACCCCTGCTATAAAAAATCTATTAAAAGAAGTCATGTTTGTGTCACGTGACTTAGCTGACGCACTACCTAGCAATGGGTGCGAAGCCGGAGGAGAATTTGTTGCATTCACAAGACAATGTTGTCTTTAATCGCTATCAATTTATCATAAATATCGAAGCCTTATTAAATTCTCGGATTATCCACTACCCACGTCTTTTTCCATGGTTTTTATCTCAGAAAGTGTTGTACATTGAACTCTTCAAAAGGTTTATCAACATATACATCAAGCGCTCATTCTTTGCGTGCATCCGTCGACGTCACGCGAGCAGACATTCCTAATCGTCGGGCTGTCGATTAGGAAAAAACCTTACATTTTTGTCCTTTATGCGCTCCATTGGTGTTTTTCGGGGAATCCTGTATTTTTCTAGTAAGATTGGATAATTCTACTTTCCATATATACCAAAATTGCCATTGGAAATAACCACCCGATAATTACTTTTCTGGGAAATGTTATTCACATTTAATGGATTTAGAATGCTAACGGACTATTGGCGGAAAACATTATTGACAAATTGAAATAACGCCCACTATTCTTCCCAAATAAAGAAACCATTAAACTATTTATTTTTTTAACACGACGTATTGGTCGTTTGCGTTAGTGTTGTCTGGTATGAATATTCCACCAATATTAGTGTTATTGATTAATTATATCAATAGCTACAATGCTGAAAGATCGATTCGCCGTAGCAACAACACCTCAAAACACATTAAAATTTAACCACGCTTACTGACAATACGTTCAGAATCAATAGATCACGTCAGTGGAGAGTGTACACCATTGTCACTCGGCAAACCTCAGCAGACCAGTACCCTAGCCTCGGCTGTATGACAAAGGTCGCCATTGGAACTACTTTCAAGTTCCCGGATTACCAGCTGCGTTGCCCATGACGACGCCTTTGAAGAATGTTTTATCATACAAAGCTTTCAAAGTCTGAATCTGTTTTCCTGTCAAGTTTATCCTATTTTCTTCAAGACAAGAACAACTTTTTTCTAAAAGCGGCAAGATTCCCTAATAAGTAAACCGGTGCCGCATCGCAATTGTAGAGGTGTGGGTACATATCACTTACCGTCATACAGCCGAGACTAGTACCGGGGTCTGTCGAGGTTTGCCGAGTGCACCAGTGTTTCTCAAAGACGGAGAAACAAAAGTAAAAGTATAGAACGTGATCTTTAGAATGGATTATATGATGATTTGATAATAACCATTTGCTAATTACGTCACATATGAGATTAAAACGGCATGTTTTGAAATGACTTAATAAAATAGAAATTACAAAGTTGAACGATTCATATATATAAATATATTTATATTAATTGTTTTTTGTTATTATTTGGTAATTGTTCCATGTTTAGGATGCAAAAATCATTCTCCAGCTAGTCTCGGTCGCCCCAACACAAATTATCTCCCCTTTGGCCACTCTATACAATACCAACGAAATTGCAATCGGAATTATTCTTGTAATGTCCTGCATAGTTTCTATACATTCGAAACGGAGAGAATTTACGCGGGGTGATCTAGATTAGTTTTAAGCTCCCAGTATCTTGCTCATAAAAATGGCTAAATCTATTTGCTAAGGCCAGCTCAATTTTTGTAAAGGTCGCTGAGATGTAAATAAGGTTCGGGCACGTGATTGTTGGCGAGATTGTAGGTTAGGGTTAGGGTTATCATTGGGGCTAGGGTAGGGTTGATATTGGCGCTAGCCCTGTTTACATCTCGTGACCTATGGCGAAAAATTGAGCTGGCCTTATCATTAAGCACTAACCAAGAAAAATAAAAATTGAAACTCCCACAGATGTGAATAAAATTTGTAAGACTTTGGTTTGAAAGTGCTGATTTGTTTTACGAAATGTGTACCTTCTTACATTATAGAATATACATCAATATAATGCTCTTGTGTTGAAAAATACTTTATTAAATTAAAAACACTTATATGGATATACTACTTCTGAATTTATTAAAGTTGCAATATCATATTTTTAAGTTATATTTTTTAAAATTTATTAAAATAAAGCCTTAAAATAGATGGTATCTATAAACAGTCCTACCTTGTTAAAGAATAATCCTATTAATCCTATAATTCACTATTGCCAGTTGAGAAATTGGCAAAATATCATTTTCAACTTCAAATTCAAACGTTTGAAGATAACTGCTCCATGGTGGAGAATAGAAAACAAGGGAGGTAATTGTGTTATTATTTCCGGTGTAAATGAGTTTTAAGTGTGAGAATGTCACCTATGATCGTATAATAGTGAGTTGACAACCTATAGAGCAAAAGACATAGAAATAATTATGTTTTGACTTTCTTAGAAAATATGAAATTGTAACTTTAACATATATTATGTTAATAAATTCCGAAGTAGTATATCCATATAAGTGTTTTTAATTTGTGAAATCTTATTCTATTATGTCTTATAAGAATTATGAAATATACTTGATAATATTTTTAACACTGAACATTTAAGTCAACGAAATAAGTAAATACTCAGACCAAACCCTTGCCCCCTCACTTTATTTTTACTTAAAGATACATTCTGTACGATTTAGATAAAGAGCTGACCATTTTTACTATAATGGCTCAAAAATAGAAAATATTGAAAATTTCATTCAAATTACTTCATTCTGAGCCAAGTTATCTCTGTTTGTAGTTTTGACCAGATGTGTGCATTGTGGTAACCAGGGCACTGGTATATTCGAGACTTAGCCTCGCTTTCCCATTTTTAAATTAAATTTGAGTATCGGACGCCATCGAAGGTTGATTAAGGTCTTGTTTTGTTAATATGAAGAGCCCAGGGGAAGAACGAACTAAGTCACATTATTGTAGTTTCGCATAAAATATGTAAATTTTTGCGTGGAATAAGCCGTAAAAAGATAGATATTTCCGAAAAATGCACATGACGATTAGCGACATTATTTGAATGATGGTTCCATTGAATGTAACTACGAGCGTATGTAAGGGGGTATGAACTTTATATTAAGAGATTGGACTTGTGACACAGTTACACACTGACAATAAAAGTTCAATAGCCAAGACTGTGTAGTAATATCGGACTTCTTCGGTATTCCTCGTTCTCAATAAAGTATGGATGATAGCTGCTCGGAATATCTGGGTGAGATCTGATGAATTTCGCCAAAGACCCTGTTTTATAACCCACTTAACTAACTTCTGTACATCATAGACCGACCTTGATGTTAATTTCCTTCCCAAATATGAAATAAACAACCCCATTCTCCAAAGACCTTATTTGGTCTACCAAACACACGTCATAAATAAGTTTGTATTTGATGGATATTTTGACAACGGTAATGATTTTACCAAAATATCACTGTTTTTTTATATATAAATATATCACTCAATTCATTACGTACGTGACTGTGATTTGACTCTATATAATCAGTTAAAGATACAATATGGTCGCAAGGACCATAGTATTACAGAGAGAGAGATAGAGAGAAATTGGGTTTGACGTCCACTCGACACAAACTAGGTCATTTCGGGACTAACATATGGTTTAATTTTATCTCAATAATTCGCTTGCGCATAGGGGTCTTTAGCAGTGGGAGGAAACCGGAGGACCTGGAGAAAACCCACGAGGTTGGACAGGCGACCCTACTCCTTGTCACGTACAACCGGAGATTCGAATCCACGCCAGTCGACTCAATGACAGACTTTATGATACAGCGCGCGCACGCTAACCATTCAGCCACCCCACCTCCCTCCATAGTATTACAACTGTGTGACTTAAGACTTGGGCTATAATATATACAATTTTAACAACCTGACCTTCAGGGTCAATATATTTATCTTAACTAACTTGAATTTTAACAAACATTCAGCCCAGGGTAAAATATCTATAGCTGAATAAATATCTAGCCAATTAAAGATACATTAGTTAAGAGTTTTATAATGAGTTGGCCATTCTTGCTATAATAATTCAAAAATAGATGATACAAAAGAAAATGTTGAAAATGTCAGTCAAATTACTTTGTTCTAAACGGAATTGTCACTTTTGGAAGTTTGGACTACAGAGTGATTTTGAGCTTGTCGTGTAAATAAAAAGTCTAATTAATAATTTCTATAACATCTGATTAAGCCTAAATAAAGACTTGCAATAGGCAGATTTAACTCTTGCATAATATATGTTTAAATTGGGTAGCTTTTTTAAAAATAAAAGAAAAATGGAATGTGTTGTCAGCATATTTTTGTTGTACCAAAGGCTAGTCATGAAAGGGTACACTTTACGTTTCACACAACATTTTAAAAATGAAATTGAAAGTTGTATACCGATTTTGGGCTCGAAATTGAGACTGTACTACTGATTGTATTGGGTGGTATATTGTCGCCTCCCCTGTCCGTCCATCGACCCTCCCGTCTTCCACAATTACCAATGCACACTCTAGGGGCTAATGTATACAGTGTTTATGGTCATGCGACGAAAAATCATTATTATTGATTTGCAATGATTTGATTATTGATTTACTATGATTATTGATTTACAATGATTATTGATTTACATTGATTATTTCATTGCTTGTTAACTCTTGAGTAGAACATGTACAACTGGCTTTTTTAACAGTCGTATGGGATCGCAAGACCACTTATGTTGCAATGAAATGAAATGAAATAGGGGTTTAACGTCCTACTGTTCTGCTCCGACTGGGCTAATGAGGACGGGCATAACCCATACAGTGTGCTATGAGGGAAATTTTGCCCGGACAGCGGCACTATGGCCAAGGCATATTTTACGTGCACGCCAATGTATACATGGGACCTCGGTCTCTCAGTTGCACCAAACCCAATCGCACACAGTCGCATCGCGCAAGGGCGACATACCGCCCCACTCCCCCACTTTAATGTCTTATCAGTGATTGCTCCCATCGCCTCCAAAAGAATATATTTACGACAAACTTTTTAGACTGCCCGGGCGAATTAGCTGCCGTTGAAGTTTTTTTCGTTTCTTATATATGAAATTTCATTTATAACATTGAAATTAAAACGAAATATTATCTGAGATTAATTTATTATATGAATGTGTGACTATGTGGCCCTAAAACAGCAAGGATTTTATGTTAAAGAATTCCATTTTTGGGGTTACAGTAAAGAGATGGTAGATTCCAGTAGAATATACACAATAGAATTAAAAATTGGATCACATTTTCGTTTCGTTAAATTTTCTGAAACGAAATGTTTCTAAACAGGGGCCTGTTTCACGAAATCTTAACTAAAGATAAAATCTAAATTTTAGTAGATACTTCAATTTTGATTGGCTAAGGACTAAAATCAATTTAATATTATCCAATCAAATTACTAAAATTTCGTGAAACAGGCCCCAGAAAGGTAATTGACATCTGATTTTAATAAGATTGATATTTAGCTGGTGTATATTTATTATTTGAATTTGGGTGCATATAATAACACCATGTGGTGTCTAGAATCATTTATAATACATGATCATTACTGTTATATTAAAAATTCATGCATACGATTAGTACTATTTAATTTTTTTCAAAGGACATAATAAAAAGTTGGTTAAAAAAAGTAGTCATTTGTAGTTTCTTGGTGAATATCAGAATGCATGACATTGGCAATCTCTTGAGCTGACGGTTGGTGCTAAATGATAAGGCCAGCTCAATTTTTTGTCTTAGGTGACGAGATGTAGGCTAAACAGGGCTAGCGCTAATCCCAACCCTAACCCTAGCCCTTGACCTAGCCCCAATGCTTACCCTAACCAACAATCTTGTCAACAATCACGTGCCCAAACCTTATTTACATCTCAACGACCTTGACAAACTTGAGCTGGCCTTAACAAATAGATTTAGCCTCTAAATGATTGACACTAAGCAGGGGCTACTGTCAGGCACTAGCCCGGCATTAATATCCACTAGTCCATAGTTTGACAAGGTACAAGATTTAATCTTCAATATTTGGGCATATTTGAGCTGGCCTTAACAAAAAGATTTAGTCCTCTGAGACCCGCTCTTACCTATAGTCTTGGCAGACGGACGCCGGCCAAATTGTATCGTGTGTTTGACACTGTCATAAGCCTTTCCTACACACAATATTAGGCTCCGAACTGGGCTAATGAAGACTGGCATACAGTGTGCTATGAGGGAAATTTTGCCCGGACAGCGGCACTACGGCCTACTCTTATATCGAATTCCAACTGTCAAGGGATCTTTAACGTGTACGCCAATGTGTATACGGGACCTCGGTTTTTCGTACCCGAACGACTAGACAGCTGTCCTTGTCAGGCCCTCCGCCCTGCACTACTGACAAGGGCGAGCTACGCGGGAAAGTCTGGATGAATTTTCTCGGCCACTTGCCTCACTTGATTTTTCGTGTCTGCTGAAAGAGTTGGGCGGGCTCGAAATCTTAGAATACATATGATTATCTGGATTGATGTGTTAAGTTACTTCCTTGCCTGGATAGATGTTTTTAATTGGAATATATATATATTAAAGTAGATACAGTACAAGTACTTCTTTGTTTACGGTAGATAAATGCATAAAAGAATAAAATTCACGTCCGGGTAAATAATTCTCCACTTTACTTCATTCTGACATACATTAAATCATATAAGCTAGCTGTCTGCCTTCTTTGTCTGCGATATCACCTCGGTGGAAGCGGACGTAAAATACAACTAACTACTACTACTGTCTGCCCTCTATAGGCGTCTTCAGATATTAATAATGTACACAAAAAATTGAAAATACCATATTGAGAGTGTGAGAGAGAGAAATGGAGTTTAACTTCAACTCGAAACAAACTAGGTCATTTCGGGACTAACATATGGTTTGATTTTATTTCAATAATTCGCTTGCGCGTAAGGGTCTTTAGCAGTGGGAGGAAACCGAAGGACCCGGAGAAAACCCACGAGGTTGGACAGGCAACCCTACTCCTTGTCACGTACAACCGGGGGTTCGAAACCACGCCAGTTGACTCAATGACAGGTCTTATGATACAGCGCGCACGTGCTAACCATTCGGCCATCCACCCCCCCTAAAATACCATATTGAACACACTGAGCCCATAGAACAATCTTAAATTGTCTCTCGCCTTTCAAAGAAGGCAGGGGACTATTAAAATGGGTTCGTCCGTCTGCCTGTCTGTCTGTCCGTTACACTTTTGGGACACAATAACTCTCATTCTAATTGAGCTAGAATGTTCAAACTTGGTGTAGATGTTTATTAGGGCAATGCCTTGATGGAGTTCGAAGATGGGCATTTTCTGCGTAGGGTAAGCAGAGATAAGCAATTTGATTGGTTGATGCTTTGGGACACGATAACTTTAGTTCTAATTACGTGAGAGTGATGAAACTTGGTTTCATTACATCTATACCTTGAATAAGTTCGATGATGAGCATTTTCTGCTCAGGGTAAGCAGACCGATAAGCAATTTGATTGGTCGAGACTTTGGAACACAATAACTTTCCTTCTAATAAGGTAGAATGTTCAAACTTGGTGTAGGCGAATGCCTTGATCGAGTTCGATGATAAACATTGTCTGCTTACGGTAAGCAGAGATACGCAATCTGATTGGTTGATGCTTTGGGGCACGATAACTTTAGTTCTAATTACGTGAGAGTGATGAAACTTGGTGTATAGTTTCATTATATCAATACCTTGACTACGTTCGATCATGAGCATTTTCTGCTCAGGGTAAGCAGAGCGATAAGCAATTTGATTGGTCGAGACTTTGGAACACAATAACTCTCCTTCTAATAAGGTAGAATGTTCAAACTTGGTGTAGGTGAATGCCTTGATGGAGTTCGATGATAAACATTGTCTGCTTACGGTAAGCAGAGATACGCAATCTGATTGCTTGATGCTTTGGGGCACGATAACTGTAAGTTGTTTGGGGTCTTATTAAAGACATTATTAATGTTCAAACAGGTTATTTATTAATTAAAATATAATTCAGTGACTATTTAGTCAGCCATCATTGTTTACAACTCTATTCTCATACTACAGCGCCACCTGGACACAGACCACTAATTATTTACTTAGGGAGTCAACTTGTATTGTCTATATGTTTTTAACTATTAATGTCAACATCTCCCTTTTTATATAAAATAAAATTTTAAACACAAATTAAACTTCACTCAATTAAAGTAACAAACTAAACATGCAATATCCAATTGTTTTAAATTCACAGAACAAAATATATTTAGTTATCATAGTCTCTCATCCATGATGGTTTCCTGCTTACTCTTCCACTAGCAGTTCTCAATAGATTTGGTTCATTTATATCAGGTTGAATTTCTTCTTGTTGTTCATTTGGTCCATTTGGTTGATTGTGCTCTAGTTCAAAATTTCCTGGAAAGTTATTGTCTCCATTTTGTCCACCATTTTGAATTGTGTTGTCAACTGGATCATGATTAAAATATTGTTCTGTGTAGAAAGGTTTTAAATGTTGTCTATTTCTCCTTATTACTGAACCATCATCACTTCGTACCATATAAGATCTTGGACTGTTGTGTTGATATAGAATTTTACCAGGAGCCCATTTCTTTCTATCAAAATTCCAAATGCTGATTGATTGACCTGGTTGAAGTGGTTTCAAGTCAATTGATGTTTTGTCAAATTGTTTCTTTTGACCTTCTATCTTCTTTTCTCTTTCCTTTTGAACACCTATCTGTCTTGTAGGTCTTAGATATGATTTGGATATTGGTAAATTAGTTCGTAATCGTCTTCCAAATAATAACTGTGATGGAGTTTTCGATCCAAGAACTGGGCTGTCTCTGTAGTTTAATATAGCTAAATAAGGATCTTGTTTATCAGCTTTAGCTTTGATGAGTAACTTTTTAACAATTCCAACATATTTTTCAGCTAACCCGTTACTTCTTGGATAATGAGGACTCGATGTTTTGTGATTTATTCCCCATTCAGTTGAAAATTTTCTAAATTTTTCATTTGAATAATTTGTCCCATTGTCAGACACAAGGGTTTCTGGAATTCCATGTCTTGCGAAGATGGATTTCATTTTTAATATGGTTTCTTCAGCTGACAAATTTTTCAACTGAGCTATCTCAAAGTAATTTGAATAATAATCAACTAACAGTAAATAGTCTAAATTATTAAAATGAAAACAGTCTGCTCCAACTTTTAACCATGGAATATTTGGTCTTTCATGTGGTTGAAGTGTTTGATTTGTTTGTTGATTTTTATATGTTTGACATATTTCACATTTTGTTACGTAATTTTCAATGTCATTTGACATGCCGATCCAAAACATACAGGATCTTGCTCGAGTAACACATTTTTCAAAACCTAAATGTCCTTCGTGTAATCGTCTCAGCATGTCGCTTTTCCACTCTTTAGGAATTAACAATCTATTATTTTTGTAAATTAAACCTTTAAAATTTGAAAGTTCATCGCGGAAGTTCCAATACGGTTTTACAGTGTCATTTAAATCATGACGATTATCTGGCCATCCATTTTGAATGATTCTATGTAATTCTAATTGTTCATTATCAGCTTCACACGATTTTTGAAAGTTATCTAACATTGTGTTACTAAATGGTAATAATGCATGTACCACATGCACATAATAATCTAATTCCTGATGAAACTTTAAATCTTCAGGTTTTGGGGGTTGTGGTGCTCTGCTTAATGTATCAGCTACTTTTAAGTCTTTTCCTGGTATCCATTCGTACTCAAAATTATACTTTTGTAAACGTATCATCAATCTTGCTATTCTCGGAGGTGCGGATGTCAATGATTTTGTAAATAAAAATTTTAATGGTTTATGATCATTAACAACTTTAAATTTATTCACACCATAAACATATTGATGAAATCGTTCTGTAGTAAATACAATTGATAACAGTTCTTTTTCAATCTGAGAGTAATTTTTCTCAGCATCAGTCAATGTCCTTGATATAAACGCGACTGGTCTGTTATTTTGTAATAGTGCACCACCTAAACCATATTGTGAGCTGTCACAAGTTATAGTAATATCTTCTTTTGTATCGAAGAATTTTAAAATTGGTGCTTCTGTCAACATTCTCTTTAGCTGTTGAAATTTTAGTTCATGGTTTGCTGTCCATACAAACACATTTTTCTCTTTAATTAAGTCTCTCAATATTGCAGTTTCTTGAGAAAGATTGGGTAGGAAATTAGCTAAGTAGGTCAACATCCCTAGAAATCTATGTAGTTCTTCCTTAGAAGATGGGCTTTTCATATTTACAATGGATGAAATTCTATCCGGATCAATTTTCTGACCATCTCCAGTGATAATTACACCAAGATATTTTACCTCAGTTTTATTCAGTTCACATTTATTTTTATTCAGTTTTAAGTTCATTTCACGACATTTGTCTAGTGTAGCTTTAAGTCTTTCATCATGAATTTTCTGATTTTCAGCATGTATCATTATGTCATCTACATAAGCTTCTACGCCTTCATGATTTTGAAATGTTTGACTCATAACACGTTGAAATACTTGACTAGAAATGTTTAAACCATAAGGAAGTCTTTTGAAACAA